ACCACATACAAGGCGTGGGTGAAAGTGCACTCACAGTGGCAATACTTTTAATATATTTCACACATTCCCATTCTCCCAGAACCTCTGCCACAAGAGCTCTGCAAACACCAACGTGCCCTCCCACATCACAGCACAGCTCAGATCCATTTCCAAAATCAGCTCTCTGGAATAGCAGATCTGCCCCCTTTTTCTGGAGGTCCAGCACCTACTTAAGAGCCATCCCCATTTCACAGATGGGGAAACAGTCTCAGAGGTGGGACCTCACAGAGCTGACTGTGCAAACCCAGACCTCTCCTCACCCACCTACATTTGATAAGCTGCTCTTCTGCCCTGACAGAAGGAAACAAATAGGTCAGATAGCCAAACAGGGCATCTTCCTTGAAACCAGAATACAAATATTCCACTCCCATCCATATCAGCTCATTTGTTCAACTGTCAGATCTTCAAGGCAGGGATTTGGGTTTGCATTTACGATACTTGACCTGCGGGAAAACTCTGCGCACATATATGGTGTGATATAAATAATAAATGAGTGCTCTGTTGGTATTTTGCTAAATATAGAGAACGCCCTATTTTGCTGCATTTTCTTGGGCTGCAGGGGCCAGTTTAGAGCTGCCACTTCCTCATGGCATCATTCCTGAAGGCTGCAGCATGCACAGATCTTAACTCAATGATGGCTGGAGTGGTGCTGCAATGAGAGGAGAACAAGACACTCCAGGCTCCTATAGAGCAAACAGGTCACCATAAAAGTGTCTACTGCATTCCTCAGGGCTAGATCCTCATGTCCTCAAATGCTTTTTTGTTGTGTTGTTTTGTTTTTTTCTTGCAGTGAAGGCCTGAATCACTAGGGACTAGCACAGGGAATTCCAAACAATCAGTTAAGAAATCCCAGCAAACTAGTGCAAAGCTTCTAATTGAGCCATCACATCTTTCATAGACCTGTCATGCTGGAATTGCACGTGTCATTTTAGAAAGAAAACAATCCTGACACTGCTACATCCAGCTACAATCATTTCACAAATGCAAGCTAGAAGAAAAGGGCAGAACAGCATCACTTCAATAGGCTTTCCTTTATTTAGTTTATAACTAGCAATCACATAGAAGAGTGATTTCTCTCTCAAAAAATGGGGCAACCTCTTTGGGGTACCCCAGAGAAGACTCAAAATAATTGACCAAACTTACAACCTCTTCCCACTGAAAACCTTAGAGATCTTAAAAAAACCCCACCAAACAAAAAAACACCAACAAAAAAACCCCAAAACAATACCCCAAACCACTACAGATTATATCTAAACCAGTTAGTCTCTCTCTCTCTCTGCATTAAAGAGTTATGACATCAAAGAACACTTGAGGAGAATCATACTAATCAGGAGGTCACCTCTTCCAACCCATTGCTCAGACAAAGGCCAGCTTGGGTTGTCAAGACCTTGTGATGGGGCCAGAGTAAGACCTCTGAATTGCAAGCAACGCTAATGAGATAAACTGAATATCCTACCTGGAAAGGGCTTTTCAAGGAAGTGTCCTTTGATGGTTTGGTTGGCTGAACCCAGTTGGTTGGTGGCCACAATCGTGTAGTTGCCATTGTTGTAGTGAGTGGGTTTGTTGAAGAGCAGGCAACCCTCAGACACTTCCCCTTGTTGGTAAAACTCCATGTGGATGATCTCTGTCTCCTGAAGGACCTGGCCATTGTGCAGCCAGTGGAGGGTGGGAGCTGGGTTCCCATGCACTGCAAATGCAATGCAGTGCTCCATGTGCTGCACCGGCTCATCCAGGGTTAGGATGCGAGGGGGATCTATCAGAGAGAAACATGGCAGGCTCACAGCACACCCCACATCATGTCTCTGTGCACCACGGAAGTTAAGATTATTGAAAACAACCTGCAAAATCCTTTGTTCCTTCTATTCTTCCCATGGATGTCTGTGAACAAGCATCTTTAAGTCACAAGAACCATTCCACGCTCCTCAGAAGGAGGATCTGAGCCATAGCCAGCTCTCCTGGGCTTTCAAACAGGGGTACAAATTAATGAGAGGGATGGTCCTTTCACCAGCCCAGAAACAATTAAGCTTGGAGTTGCTTGGTCCACACATCAACTGCTGTTCTCCTCCCCTTACAGGGAGGCCACCTGTCCCTGTTAGGAGAACACTGAGGTAGCACAGTTACACTACAGATGTGCAAAGTACCCATGGGAGCTCTCCTGTCACACTGAGCAATTTTGGACTGCATAGCTGTGGAAGCAAAAATCCCTCAGCGACTGCCTGTCCTTGGGGTTTTGACTGCCTGAATATCCCAAAGGAATTCTCACTCGCCGAACACCCTCCAGGGGTGTTTTAATTAACAGGAGTAGAGTGGGAGAGGGAAAAGAAAAGCAGAGCCTCCACCTGCAACTTATTGCATATGCATTGTCTTTCCCCTCAGGACAATCCAAGAATTCCAATGTTGCTCTGAAATTGCTTCTGAAACCCCATTTATGATGCCTACATGTAAGGTCCCAAACCCCAAGTCTGGCAAGACCTGAACTGTAAGAACAGAGTTTTATGCAAAGACAGAGGATGCAAAATGATGCAGGTCTTCCCTGCAACTCTCCTGTTCCTGATACCATCCAGCTGCAAATTCAAACCATGGGGCATCTCTACAAGGAACAAAACATTGCACCAATTCTGACCCATTTTTTGAAAAAAAGATGGTGAATTTTTCAGACAGTGATGGTGGTAGGAGAAAGAGGTACAGAGCTGGTTGGAGCTGAGCAAAGTTCTCCTACCCAGCCGCCCTGAACCACACAGCTGTGTCCCAGCCACCTCCTTTCACTCACAAGCCAAGATTTGCATGTGGTTTGTTCACATCTTCCTGGCAAGGAAGATTCCAAACAGGCAGCCACCTACACACACCAACCCAGATCTTTTCAGCGTAAAATTACAGCCTGAGTGATAGGTCTGGGTAACAAGAGCAGGGGAAGCAGAAACTGTCAGCAGCCTAGAGGATTACACAGGCAAAAATAGGTATTGGCATAGTGCTGCTTAAGGTGTGGAGAAAAAGATGCTAAAATGCAGTGCCAAAAACACCTGCTTGCTGACCAGTCACCTCTGAGCTGATGCAGCCTTTAATTACCTCCATTCTTCAATCCATCAATAGTTTTTATTGGGAGGAAGATGAAAGTAGTAAAGCATCTGCTTTCCTCTTTCCCATCCCCTGTGAACCCCTGTCTTTGCTGTGGCTCCTGCACTGGACTGGACATGCAACACAAGTGGGTTCACCAAGATGAGCCAGAATCCCACGTGGGTCTCTGCTCTACCCAGCAGGGTTGGGGAACAGATTTTCAAACTACAGAGTAAAAGCAAATATTACAGACAGAGCAACACATAGTAAATCTCAGCTGCTTGGGAGCACAAAGCTGTGTAAACTTCCTCTTAAGGTCAGGTTTGTGTTAAGTTATATTAGAAAGCACAGAGAAAGTTTAGCTACTTGCAGTGAAAAGGGAACAGTTGGAATTTGACGTGTGTTTACACGGTGTTTGCAGTGTAACTTTGCAGGAACAGATCTGGGAGGAAGTGCTAACAGTCCTGAAATCAGAGGCAAGATTTACACTGGCTTTAGCAAGGGTGACATTTAACCTCTTACATGGCATCAGGGTGAGCAGCTCTGTGTTTGTAAACAGAGTTTTTTGCCTCTCTACAGATTTTCTTTACTCTGCTGGTTCTTCCAAGAGATGGGTGGAGAGATGTCCACCACCAGTGTGGCACTGCTGCTCCTCCCCTGCTCTAGTGCTCATTTCTGCACTACTGGAAGCTCCAGAAAAGCAAAAATACTGGCACTTTAAAGAGCTATGCAAGGATCCACTTCCTCCTCACTGGGCTCAGCTCCTATTCCTCATCCACAAAACCAGTATATGACAGGTAGCAAGTGGTCATGCATTCACACGGTTCCTAGGGCAGCCCTCCAGCTTCTCCTGTGGTCAATGTCACTCCATTGCTACTTACAGTAAACGGTGAGCAGCACGCTGGCATTGCTCATCCCCACCACGTTCTCAGCAATGCAGGTAAGCAGGAATCCATTGTCCTCACTGGTGACATTCACCAAGGTCAAATTGATGGCATGAACATTGGTCCAGTTGAGATTGGTCTAAAAATCCCAGAGAGAAATACAGACAGAAATCAGTGTCTGTTGGCTTCGCTCCTCTCTGCAGCTACTGCCAGAAGGTGAGGATCCTGCTTTCTATATTAGATGCAAGGTCTCCAAATCCAAAGAAAACTAGGATCTAGATAAGGGAGGTGTTTCCTCATCTGATTAAGGACACCATATCCTATAAGAGGAACTACTGGCAGGGTGAGAGCCACAGCATTATAGCACTGATGAACACAGCTTGCTTCTAGGAAAGCCTGCTTAGCTGCTGATTTCAGCTGATGCTGTTGCAGACACCTCTGTAAACAAGTAGTTTGGTTAGAGGAGATATGTGCTGATTTCAGTAGGAAACAGACATACAAAGCTATCTCATATTTACTTCCCAGCCATAAAGTTCTGCTGCACTCAGGTAGTTCCCAGGTTCTCACATGGATAGGGCACGGCCTCAATTTTGCTTTGGATACAACCGCTTTGCATTTCTCTCAGCAGTCTCCACCTGACCCTCGCCCTGCCTGCACAGCTCTGCTGAAC